AAAAAAAAGATTGGAAAAAATCTAATTTTAATCGATTTTTTAAATCAAACCAGTGATTAAAATAAATTAAATTTATAAATATTAATTTTAATGGCGGCGACGGTAAAATGCGTTTTCTCAAACTTTATGTTGAAAACTCAGATGTTCGATCGCTTTTTCGGACTCCTTGCCTCGGAAAATTAGTAGATATGATGCTAGATCGACCTTTAACATAAATTCCATGCTTCAAGACTCGATATCAATTGGTACTTATTCATTTAAAAAGAAAAACTATTAGAATTGATTAAAATCGATTTAAAAATTTTAATCGATTAAAATGGATATTTATAAATTTAATTTATTTTAATCACTAGTTTGATTAAAAACCTGGTTAAAACTGTCCCATTTTAATCGATTTTTAATCACAAAAAAATCGATTAAGATCAGATTTTTTCCAATTTTTTTTTTATATGAGTGATAATCTAAGTACTGACCATTTAATCTTTTTACTGATCATTTATACATTTTTTACTGACCATTTATCTTACTGATCATTTCATATATTTTACTGACCATTTCATTTATTTTACTGACCGCTTAATAATATCCCTTTTTTTTTCGGTCTCTCAACGTTTCACTCATTTCTTCCGTGCAACAATCGATATAAAACTTCTGAATCCATACTCAAAAAGGGCATAAAATTCTAGTTCTCGCTTGTAACTTTTGATTCTTCTGAAATACTTTCATAAGAACAAAAAATGAGCAAACATTTTGTCTCAAAACTTTCGATTCACCTGTTAATTGATTTTAATCATTATTTTGATGAAAACTTTGATTAAAATGAAGTTAAAAGAGTGTCATTATAATCAATTGGTAAACATAGAAAAATAGCTAATAAGCTCCAAGTTGTTTACATTTGTCAACTTCTACTATCATTAGAAGTTGAAGACGTATGCATGTAAGTTTCATTCAATACAAGTAGAAATTTTTATTCATGAAGAAATACGTCATTGCAATCTAGTAGTATCCTGGCTGGTTCAGAAGTATGAGTTTCTATGGATCGAAGGGTGTGGGTGTGGGATGTGGAGTGTGTGGGTGGGTGTGGGTGTGTGGGTGTGGGTGTGGTGTGGGTGTGGGGTGCGGGTGTGGGTGTGGGGTGGGTGTGGGTGTTGGTGTGGGGTGTGGGTGTGGGTGTTGGTGTGAGTGTGGGTGTGGATGTGGGTGTGTTCTATTGAAGCAGAATAGCCCACACCCAAATACTCACCCACACCCCACCCGCACTCCACACACCCATACATACACCCACCCCACACCCCCCACACACACCCACATCCACATTTAAATATGACGAATTAGATAAATGCTTGAGAATAAATATTGAAGATAGATATAAACAATGAAATCTACTGTCAATATGAAGAGGTTTTCAGCATAAAAGAGGAGCTCAATAGTTGATGAAAACTTCCCATGGAAAGTTTTTTTTTAAGCAAAATTATTAAACAAGAGTTTCGAAAGTGATCACTGGTAGAATTCGCTCTCTTGGAACTGTTTACACTGTACTCAGATCGTTTGAAATAATCAATTAGTGTATTATATCTGACTGTTGATGATAATCAGGTCTATGTAATTGTCAATATGGTAGCGGACTAAACTAACTTTCATATAGTTTGATAAGGATTTTTAAGCTATTCGAAATGTTAAATGAGCATCGGAGAAAAAATGAATGATCAGTAAAAAAACATCCGAGGGAAATATTTCTCGAGACATGATTTGAGTGTCTTTGACTGATATTTGGTAGATTTCGATCAGAAGTACAGTTTGGATAGAAACTAAAATCATCTTGAGAACCAGCATTTAACATAAAGCAGACTAATGAAAATTTTAAATCTTTTTATCAACCTTCTATCGTCGAAAGAAGCACTCAAGTCCCCATCAAGATTAAGTCAAAATATGAATCGCATCAAAAAGTAGTTTCACTAATGGAAAAGAATTCTAACGCTGCACACTGATACTAGAATAAGAAACAGAGTTTATGTAAGCCATCAGAAACACTCTTAACGAGTTTCATTTTTTTTGACTTAATTCGGGAGGAACTGGATGACTTTTCAACGATAAAAGATCAATAAAAAGATTCAAAATTGGCATAAGTCTACTCAGTGTTAAATACTGATTCATAAGATGATTTTTGTTTTTACCTAAGCTGCACTTCTGATTGAAATCTACCGAATATCAGTCCAGACCACTGGAAATCATATCTGAAGAAGTATCTTTTCGTCGTTTTTTTAATCATTTTAGAGTGCTTAAAAATCACTATCAAACTGTTTGAAAACTAGCTTGATCGATCACTATAACGATAGTTAAATGGATCAAATTATGATCGATGGCGGGATATAACTAGTATGTTTATTCACTATTTCAAACCATATGAGTACAGAGTTAATACGTGCATTACGGCTAATTCTACCAGTGATCACTTTCGAACTCGTCGTGTAATAGTTATGCACAGAAAAAAAAGTAAAATCTTACTAGAGAGTCTATTTCCTCACATGTTGAATCATCTTTTCCACGTTTATCAATACTTGCTCTGGACCAGTTTTTAAACTCCAGTTAATTTAGCTGAAGTTGAACGGTCTATTTTTGTTTTAGATTTAGTAGTTACTGCACGTGGCTTCTCTCTCGCTTATAACACTATGAGTGACATTTGTCTGTCAGATTTTTTGAAAATATTTTTGAAGAAAAAAACAGATTGTTTTTCTCAATATTAATGTGTGTCTGTTTCTTTATTTTCCTCGACACTTATATTTTTCACTTCATATTAAATGTAGAGTAAAATTTTATACCATCAACGTCTCTACAACGTGAACATCTTATTGTAGTGAATAATCTGAATTCACGCTGAGCTATTGTTGTTCAAAGTCAATCATTTCTTAGTGAAAGCCTCCTGATAATGGCATATGAATGCTTTTTTTCTAACTTTGAACAACTTGAAAAAAGTTTCCTGTGGTCAACTTTATTTTGTTCTACCCCTTTTTCTATATCCTCTGTTGCACAGATAAAAGAGAATCACCTTTGTATAGTGAACACTTTTAAATATTTTCTTGAATATTCACATCAGAAAATTTTTACTTGTGTCATCTAAACTGATTTCATTAACTTGCTGGAATTTCTATGAAAACTAATACTTAATTATATGATATTGGTATAATTATGTTGGCTTACTTGCTAGGTAGGCCGAAGAAAATGACAGGCAGGCCAGGCCTGCAAAACGTGGGCCTGGTTGGACCTCTTATAGGTTTATCGTTGATCAACTTGTATTAATTGATTGTGACTTGGATATTTTGTTCTTAGAGAAACAACAGTAACTGACATGCATCTTTTTAAATATGCATATTATCCTCCGATGAGACTAAATAAAAATGAAATCTCGTCATTGATACTAATATTAAAATAGTTGATGCTATTATTCAATCCGGCATTGATACATTATTAATGTTTATTTGTTCTTAATAGAAGGCTCAGCTAATATAAACATGATAATGATGCTTGTCCGTACTAAATATATTTTCTAGTTGTTTTTCTCATCATTGACTCATCGGTTGTCTTTTATATAATGAATGGTAAAATCGAATTGAGTTTAATTTTCTTAAACATTGCTATGGTTATCTTAATAAGTAAATTATTGAACTCAATAAAGAAAGATCTATCTCAATTGGATAACATTTTGATAATTTTATGCATGGCAATGTTTACATAGATTTTGTAGTCGACACATTTATCTATGCCGATCGATGAAGCATGAGATGATTTTTTTAAAATTTTATTAGCTCTGAGAAATGTTTTAAATGAAAATTGTAGAAAATGATGGTAGACAACGTAACAATAAAGATAACTAGACAAGAACCATTCTAGATGTCGAAAATTTTCAAAAGACTACCATCGATTTTAATATCGTGGTAGCTGCTCAGTCGATTGTCTTACAAACAAGCCGAGGAAAAAGTCTATTTCATCATTTGATTCATTTCGAATAATATCTAAAATGACTGTGACTACTCGAATGAGGAGGAACAAATGATCGTTATCTTCCGAAGTAACTTATAATGGGAAAATCATGAAATTTGATTCATTGGTCAAGCAATAACTATTTGAACAAATCGCGATTTTTTTATAAAGTTTGATCAAAAATATTCATGATTGAGGAATTGAAATCTGAAATCGATAATGTTTATTAAGTGTTCTAAAAAAGATTTCATTACACCAATAAATTAAGTAAACAAATTCGAGAAACTGATTACAAATTTGAATTGATCGAACCTGGCCAAAAACCTTTCATAACACTATATAATATGTAAATTATTTGGAAAAGTATTTCATTGATAATCTCATAAGTTATTGCTTACTGGTAACTTGCCGGTTGTAATATTAACTATTAAGATTAGCTTGAACATTTTTCTGTATTACTCAAACAAAATAAAAGACTGACTTCAAGTAATTGAATTGATTTATGAGATTGACTACCTTTTCAAATGACTGAATACACAAAAACAAAAGATCTATTCGAAACAAAACTCGATAACTCGATATTTTATATTATAGAAATTGAATTAAAAAATCATTGTGAAAAACAACAGATTTTTCTTACTTTCTAAAAGAATAGATGTAAGAAGAAAAAAAATTCCCATTATTCTTATAAATACAAGTATAGACCAAGATTGAATTTAAAAAAAGAAAATAAGAAAAATAATCGTTCTGATAAGATATATTCATCAATGAATAAAAAAGATCTTTTTACGGTACTATTGATAAAAATAATTTGTATAATTAATTGAATATTTCAATGAAAATAATTATTTTATGAAATAAATGTGAATGATACTAGCAAATTATATATATTTTAACAATTAGAAAATATTGTTTAAAAAGATTTCTTTATATAAAATTCTTTTTTTTTTTTTATTTATTTTCGAAGAAAAACATTTAACGATATAAAATGCAACGAAACGAATCACTGAATATCTTCTTCATTATTTTCTTGTTGTTGAACCGAGAATGGTTTCATATGTCCATTCCCGATGAACACTTTTATAGAGATTCATAAAAATAGTATCTTGTGATTTAAAAATTCCATCAAATAGACATTTCATATGAACATGTGTACCTTTATATTAAAATAAATTTTATCTTTCTATTTAATTAATAAATAACAATAAATAACAAACCAAGTGATTCTTTAATATGTCCTCGTCGACCTCATCTTGTGTACGCAATTCAATTGGTTTAAACCAATTAACATCGTCTATTTAAATAATAAATAATAGGAATTTTAGCAAGAAAAAGTAATCAAACCAGAATTAACTGAAAGAAGAGAACCAGTTGCTACTAATTCTTAACGACCTTTATTTAACAAAAAGCAAAATTAAGTTTTTTTTTTAATTTAAAAAATCGAATAAAATACCATCAGAAAATTGTTTAAATCCCAAAACCGATGCAGATGAATATGTTATTGGACCAAAACATGTTGCAACAAGAATTTATCGTGGCCGAAAAAGTCTTTCAAACTAATTTAAAATATTCTTATCTCTATTAATTATTATAATAATCAATTAGTAACAAACTTTATGTTTATCTCAATTTGAACGTTGAGAATAAATCGGTGAACTTGAAAAACGGCAAAAACCAACATGAAATATAAGATGTTCTTTTGATTTAACAATTATTTCACTATCATTTGTACGATTTAAGACAATATTTAATATTGATAAACACTGTTCATATGATAAAAGATCCGTTACAAATAATAGATGAGCAGGTTCTTTAAAAAAAAACAATAACAACAAGTTTTTTTTCTCGAATATTTATTTTTTTATATAAAAAATTTTTTCTTACCAAATCTACTGATGGGCACATCTTTTACATAAAGGGTTACATAACTATGCACCTGTAACAAATATACAAATTAAAATAAGTATTTCATCAAATAAAATCTTTGGAAAAAAAAACTTCGGTAAATTTTATTATTAAAAAGTTAATTACATTTATATAGAACACAAAACTTTTCTTCATTCTTAAATATATGAAATATTGAAAATCTACCTGCACGAAATCATAAAGGAGGGGGGCGGGTTTGCACGTAAAACGGCCCTAAATAAAAATC